TAGCTTTTTCCTGGCAGGGTTGCTCGCGGGAGATCGGCCGCTCGCACTTCTTCGCAGCCTGCAGCCACTGAGCCACCGAAGAGCTGCCGCTTCTGTTCGAGGGTGAGGTCGAGCCGCCTCTCCCCCCTCATCCCCTCGAGGTGCGTCGATCCCCGCCTGGGTCTCCCCGGGCTCCTCCTGGCCCGGCGCCCGGGGTTCCGTCCGTCCGTCTCGCGGAGCTGCGAGGAGGCGAGGCCGCGCATCTGGCCTCACCGGGGACCCCCCGAGTCCGCGTCTGGGGCGCGCGGGCGGGTTTGCTTTCCGCCGGCCTGGCGCTCGGCTCCGGCACTGGAGTGGCCGGGAGGGGAGGCCCCGTGTGGGCCACGACAAACTCATGCACCCCGCTCCGCAGTCCCCCAGCGCCCAAACCCCCCAGCTCGCCGTGCTCCGCTTCGTAGCGATGGGGCGAGGCGTCTGCAGCCTCGCTGGAGGCCTCTGCGCTTGTCCCGTGACTGCTCCGATTCTGGGATCGGAATCGGCCCTACTGTGCATCGGCGCTCGCGGTGATCAGAGTGGAGTTGCGAGGCCTCGGGGGCAGGGAGTGGCTGGGAGTGCTGCCTTCGACAGTGTCCGGCTTGGCGTCCTGGCTGATGCCCCTTTTACGACGCGTGTGTGACCCGGGCAAGCGACGTCACCTGTTTTTGGATCCTTATTGTGATCATCCGATGAGTAGTGCCTGCTTCCTTTTGGACTCGTGAGAACATACATGAAAGGACGAAATCAGACCTCACACGTGTGGTGGTAATAGTGTGAGTGGGTACATGCTTTGTACGCGCCCGGCACTTGTCTGGGTCCCCCTCGGGTTTGCAGCCTGTAAACCGAGTCTCTGCGCTCACGCTGCTGATGACCATGAAAAAAGGCACGTGCCCATAATCAGGATGTAAAAAAACCGGAGCACCGTCGCCACAGGTGCCCACCGCAGTCGGTGTGTGGCGTGGGGCATTGGTTGGCACGGCCCAGGCAGCTTCCCCGGGGAAGCATGTGGGGGCTTGGTCTGTGCTACTGATGCCCAGGTGGCACTGGTATTCCTTCAGCACAGCTCCGTGCAACCGGTGCGCTGCAGGCATTTTTAAAACATACAACCCCTGACTGTTTAGTCAGAGGCATCATCCACTTCTCACTCTCTCGCTGATGCATTGCCATTGGCGTTAAGAACTGCTGTATTTTCTTTCATCTTGAAACAACAGATTGATCCGCATTACTCTCTAGGATGTCCACTTGTTTCTCTGTCCCTTCCTGTAACAGTATTCCTCTGAAGAGTTGACCGTATTTGCTGTCTTCCCAATTTATTCACTCCCATTTTTTCTTGAACTTCTTCCAGCTAACTTTCATCCCCACTGTATCAAAAACATTTCATATCGGGACTTCCCAGTGCCTCTTTGTTGTAAAATCCATTGATCCGTTATTCTTAGACTTCTCTGCATCATGGGGAACAGCCGAGCACTCCGTTCTTCTTGAAACACTCTGACATCCAAGATGCCACTCCTGGAAGGTGGATAGGATGCTGGTTCCTCCTTGTCTTGCCAAATTCTAAAGTGTTGAGTGCCTCATGGCTCAGTCATGGAAATTGTTTATTTTATATTTACTCCCTAGAGGGATATTTAGTTTCATGGTTTTCAATACTGTCTATATGTTGCCAATTCCTAGATATAGCTCTGGAGTCCCTATCTTCCTGCTGCACTCTGCGTATATCCAGCTGCCTATTTAATGTCTTCACTCTTCGCTCAGATGTCCAGAAGAATCTTAACATGTTCAAAACTGAATTCCGGATCTTCATCCCACCCCCAAACCTGTTCTTTCTGCAATCCTATCTTTCACAAGTAAGCTGATGATGATAGCAATATTTATTTAGTGCTTATATATTGGAAGGCACTCTTCTCAGCTTTTTAATACACAGTCTTCATAACAGTCTTATTAGGTAGGTACTGTTATTACCCCTATTTTACAAACGGAGAAACTGAGGCGGGGATATTAAGTAACTTGTCTGTGTCACACAGCGGGTAGCAGTGCCTCCCAGGACACAAATCTATGTTGCCCCAAAACTGTGCTGTCCTCCCAGGCTTCTGTTTCTCACTCATATTCTATATCCATTCATCAGCAAATCCTCTTGACTGTATCTTCAAAATATATCCAGAACTGGATTATCTTGTATGACCTTCACTTTGCCACACTGTCGAAGCCACTTTCATCACTCATCTCAGTTATTGCAATAACTTCCTATTTGCTCCCTGTATAGTATATTCTTAACTCAGCAGTCATCTAAAACCCATCAGGCAATCTCCCTCTTCTGATGTCTTCTTCATCTCCCTTAGATAAAGTTCTACAAGTTCTCTCTGGCCATTTCTTTTTTTTTTTTTAAATATATTTTATTGATTTTTTACAGAGAGGAAGGGAGAGAGAGAGTTAGAAACATCGATGAGAGAGAAACATCGATCAGCTGCCTCCTGCACATCTCCTACTGGGGATGTGCCCGCAACCCAGGCACATGCCCTTGACCGGAATCGAACCTGGGACCTTTTAGTCCGCAGGTCGACGCTCTATCTACTGAGCCAAACCGGTTTTGGCCTCTCTGCCCATTTTTGACTGCTCTCCCTATCATGCTTCTTTAGCCTACCTTGCTGCTCAGCAGACCACACCAAGTGTACATCCTTTGTACTTACTGTTCATTTCGTCAGGAATTCTCTTTCCAATAGCCACGTGGTTTGTTTCCTCACTTCCTGAGGTTTCTGCTTAAATGTGCTTTTATAGAGGCCTTCCCAGACTACCCATGTAACATAGTGCCCCTCTACCCCTTATACCGTCATCTTGCCTACTGTAGATCTCCATATTCTTCTTGCCCTGCTGTATATTTTTCTCTCTGGCACTGGTGGTTTACTGTACATGCTCCTCTCACTATCAGGAAGTAGCCTGAGTGGTGAAAGGCTATGAAATGAACATCTGAAATATGGTTGAAAGAATTAAGGATTCTGACTAGAAAGGGGACTTCACAGCTCACGATAGCTGTCCTGAAACTTAACAGGTTGTCTAATGGAAGAGGTTCTACAGTACAGAACTAGGTCCAGTAGGGAAAAGTTACAGTGAGGGCTGTATAAGGAAGATCTTTTTAGTACTTCAGTGGGTGGTTTTGAAGAAGGAATGGGACGCCTTTTGAGTTTTCTGTTCTGGAAGGGTTTAAATCAGAATCAAGGACAACCCTTTGTGAGGTTCTTGCACCCAGCCCTGGGGCCCTGTGAAAGCACTGCTGTCCCTCATGCAGGGCTCCCTGTAAACTCGCACTGGATGTCTGCCTAGGCATTGTCCCTCTTTCTTTTACTGTGTGTGTTAGTATGTGTAATAAATCAGAATGTGATTGAGGATAAGAGGTGTAGTTTGATTACCAATTTGGGTTGGGAGAGGCTTTAAAATTATAAGATTTTGCAATCCTATTAAAAATCAGAAATGAGACTAGATTTTTAGGAGCAATTGTATTAATTTTATTTTAGAGCATCAACATTATTGTTTTTTAGGCATTAGAAAAGCTTCTAACATATTTGAGAGTCTATCATACATTTTAATTTATTAAAAACTAGAGGCCCGGTGCACAAAATTTGTACATGGGTAGGGTCCCCAGGCCTGGCTGGTGATCAGGACTGATCGGGGCCTTCTGGTTGCTGGCTGGGGCCCTCCTTCATTCTGTGCCACCCCTGGTGGTCAGCACACGTCATAGCGGGTGGTCGAACTCCCAAGGGGACAATTTGCATATTAGCCTTTTATTATATAGGATATTTAAAAGTTATTTTTCTATTTAGGTATAATTCACCATAACATTCATCATTATAAAATGTATACACCTCAGTGGTTTTTAGTAAATTCACAAGGTACAACCATCACTACTATCGGAACATTTTCATTATCTCCGGAAGACACCTCTGTTTCCATTAGCTGTCAGTTCTCATTGCTCCATCCCCCAGAACCTGGCAAACAACCACTAATCTTTCTGTCTCTGGATTAGCCTGTTTTAGGTATATATATATATATATAAAAGCCTAAGCAATTATTAGGACCGAATTACTGTGACGACCAGTCCACCAGTTGCTATGACATGCACTGACCACCAGGGGGCAGATGCTCAATGCAGGAGCTGCCCCCTGGTGGTCAGTGCGCTCCCACAGCCAACCTCCCGCAGCCCCTCCCCCTGGCCGGCTGGCCCCCATCGGCCCCTGGTGCTAAACCATTCAGAGAGACCTGATTCTGGGTCGGGGTTTCGTATGTAGCAGAGCAGCTCCCTCGCTGCCATCTATTGAAAGTCAACCCTCGACACAAGGGTTTGTCTTGCTCCCGTTCTCTCCCTTCTCCAGGGCCGCCCACCCGCCATGGTGGTGGTGCAGCAGTGAGGGAAGGAGGGGGGGGAGAGGTGGGGAACCACGCGGTGGTGGGGCACCGAGGGAGGCGTCGGTGTCTGGCATCTGTTCTTTCCATGCCCAGCCCAGCGACTGTCCCCTCCTTTCCCGACCCTGCTGGGGCCTTTGGGTGGCGGTGGATGCGGTTCCTTTCCCAGGGAGGCTGAGGGCTGGCGGCCAACCTCCTGCGTCGTCCCCCCCCCCAGTGCACCAATTTGTGCACAGAGCCTCTAGTTTTATATAAATGGAATCATACAAAATGTGGCCCTTAGTGTGTGACTGTTTTTTACTTATTATAATGTTATCAAGGTTCATGCATATTGTAGCATGAGCCAGTAATTCATTACTTTTTCATACCTGAATAGTATTCTCTTACTGGTATAGCACACTTTCTTTATCTGTTTCATCAGTTGATGGACGGCACTTAGCTTATTTCCACTTTTTAGCTGTTATGAATGATGCTGCTGTCAACATTCGCATACAGATTTTTATGTGAATATGTTTTCAGTCCTCTTGGATATATGCCTAAGAGTAGAATTGCTGGGTCATTGGGTAACTCTGTGGTAATAGCTTTTTGAGGAGCTGTCACAGCGATTTCCACAGTGGTTGCAACATGTACATCCCACCAGCAATGTGTGAAAGTTCTAATTTCTTCACATCATCACCAACACTTGTTCTTTTCCATTTTTTAAAAATTATAGCCATCCTAATGGGGAAAACTCTAATTTTTAAAAAAATGCTTTTCTATGTTAACATTCTAAATGATCAAACACTGGTAGATTATAGTGATTTAACTCTTTAGATTTATTAGAATCTGATGTAAATAAAGCCCACTGTATTTTTTTAAATGTTTTACTTATTTTGAGAGAGAAACATTGATTTGTTGTTTCGCTTATTTTTTTTTTAAAAATATATTTTATTGAGTTTTTACAGAGAGGAAAGGAGAGAGGCAGAGAGCTAGAAACATCAATGAGAGAGAAACATCAACCAGCTGCCCCCTGCACACTCCCCACTGGGGATGTGCCCACAACCAAGGCACATGCCCCTGACCGGAATCGAACCTGGGACCTTTCAGTCCGCAGGCCAACGCTCTATCCACTGAGCCAAACCGGTTTCGGCTGTTGTTTCGCTTATTTATGCATTCGTTAGTTGTTACTTTTCTTTCTGTCTTTTTTGGTTTGTTTTGTTTTTTTAAAACTCACCTGAGGATATTTTTCCATTGATATTTAGAGAGAGTGGAAGGGAGGGAGAGAGAGAAAAACATCCATGTGAGAGAGACACATTGATTGGTTGCCTCCTGCACATGCCATGGGGCCGAGGATCATCGATCCTGCAACTGAGGTACATGCCCTTTACTGGAATTGAACCTGTAACGCTTCTGTTTGCAGGCCTATGCTCTATCCACTGAGCAAAACCAGCTAGGGCTAGTTGTTTCCTGTATGTGCCCTGACTGGGTATCGAACCCACAACCTTGGTGTATTGGGATGATTCTCTAATCAACTGAGCTACCTGGCCAGGATGAGCCCAGTCTTAATGTGTGCTGTGTTTACTTCTGTTACCATGATAGGTCCAGATTTTTCACAAATAAATGGGAGAACATGATCATAAGGGCTAATATAAATGTATCATTGAACATCATCATGTTTGATCAGCTTATTATCTGGCAAATTTACTGGAAAAAAAACCCAACAAAACATATTCAGTTACAAATCTAAACTTCATTCTCCTTTTTTCTGAAGAAGCAAAGTTTTTCATATCTCTGAGCGCTGAATTAAAAAAAAAAGTCTCAGGTGGGAAGTAAACAACATGTAGACAATATATAGAGGTATCCTCACTAAAGCATAATTGAGTGAGTATAATTTTTAATTGTGATACACTAGTGTGGGCTGTATTCATATTTGGCACACGTTTTTGCATGTTTCTTGCCATTGTTTGGAAAATTTAACTCTAGTATTGATTATCTTTTTAAAAATCATATTTTTTCCCATTTATATACTGTTTTCCAGAAACATACATAGAAGCTTGGGACAAGATATTTATCTGATTTCTGGTAAGTTAACTGACAGATTTAGAGAGTAACATAAAATAATTGTGTGGCTGTATTTTCAGTCATTTAAGATTTAAGATAATTTTTAGAAGATAAAAATGATACTGATAAAATTTTATTATTACATAATGCCAAAGGAAAAGACAGCTTTTCTATAAACCTGCTTATAAAAGATAATATCCAAAAATGTATGTCGTAATTTCCTAAAGACGTGAGTTACTTCTGTTGAATCAGATATTAATGTTACCTTTTGTGAAGAAGAGAGCTATCTCAACATAACCTGGTGTAAGATACATTCAGTATGCTCTACTTAAGGTAAAAGTCACATTATTAAGATCAATCTGAAGTTTCATTCTTCATCAGCCTTCTTTCCCTCTCTCAGTTATAACTTGTGAGTTATTTCAAAAGCTAAACCTGATACACTTTCTGAGTGGACAAATGAAATCTTATAATTTTCACATTTAAATCTGCAACAATCTACTCATTTTTGGTAGAAATGACTTTATATAGTACTTGTATAGACTAAAATTTTTAACTTTTTAGCTATGAAAAGAATAACATTGGATTATTTTTCCATTCTAGTGGCAAAATTAAAGACTTGTCATGATAATGAAGAAAGAAACTGAATTTGTCATTTTCACCTAAAGAAAAATGATAGACAGAAATCAAACCTGTACAGGACAGTACTCTATGCCCTATATGAGTTGTCTGATTCACATATTTGAAGAATGGTTTGGCGTGGAACAATTGGAGGACTATTTGAATTTTGCAAACTATCTCTTATGGGTTTTTACACCGCTAATACTTTTAATACTTCCTTACTTTACTATTTTTCTTCTCTACCTTACTATTGTTTTCTTACACATTTATAAGAGGAAGAATGTATTAAAAGAAGCCTATTCTCATAATTTATGGGATGGCGCAAGGAAGACAGTAGCAACTCTGTGGGATGGACATGCGGCAGTTTGGCATGGTAAGCAAGATTGCATTGATCTTTGTGTTTGTGGCATGGAAACGATATCATTCCATTTCCCTGATTGAGAAGATACTGAAAAATATAATGGGATATTTACTATTTTTTATCTATTTGCATGCATTGTGCATGTATACGTCTTAAAATGATTTTTCTCAAATACATTAGTGTCCATTAAAGAACTACACAGCAGTTAAACTATTACTATAAGCTAAAATATAAAAATTTATATTTAAGACATCTAAAAGAGTAAGAGACTATTTAAAACATTATAGAAAACTGTTTTGAAAATACTTCAATTATTTAGTACCATTTAATTCCTATTGTTTAAAATAGGTTTGACTTTCCCAGTGTAGAGATATTTTAAAAATGAATACTAAATATAATTTGTATACCAAAAGTTACCTTTTTAGGTATGATTCAATTTTGGAGGTTATTATATCTTTCTCAATAAATGAGATAGCAGTGCGTTTATCTCCAGGATATTCATTTTTTTCTTTGTTATTTCAGAAAATGTAATGTGAATTTAATGGTTGGTGCTGAACTTATTTGTAGCAGAATATCTAATTTTGAGGTGTCTTATTTAATTATTGAGGTATTTTAAAATATGCACTTATGACTCAGAGGAGGTTAAAATGTATATACCTTTCGAGCCCAACCAGGGACGCCAAAAATATGTATGTATGTATGTATGTGTATGTGTGTGTTTTAATGTTTGTCATAATAAAACATTACTGTTTTAATGTTTTATTATGATAACATTATTTTTATTAGATAAATGAAACTTTAAAAAATTTTTACTGCTTTCAGAGAGGAAGGAAGAGAGAGAGACAGAGAAACATCAATCATGAGAGAGAATCATTGATTGGCTGCCTCCTGCACGCCCCCTACTGGGGATGAACCCGCAATCTGGGCATGTGCCCTTTGACCAGAATCAAACCTGGGACTCCTCAGTCCACAGGCTGATACTCTATCCACTGAGCCAAACCAGCTAGGGCGATAAATGATACTTTTAAAATGATTTTCTTTATCCTGTTCTTTAGTGACATATATAAAAGGCATTTGTGTGCATATTTGGATTTTGTATTGGTGTCAAGTCAGTTTTAATCGTGCTTTTTAAAGAATCTTCAAAGGAATTTTTAACTAATATAAATGGTCATTGTAAAAAATGTGTCAAAAAATAAAAATAAAATAATAGTCACCTAAAATTTACCATAATGTGTATAATTTATTTTATTAATCTTCACCCAAGGATTCATTGATTCTAGAGAAAAAGAGGGAGGGAAGGAGCAGAGGGAGGGAGGGAGGGAGGGAGAGGGAGAGAGAGAGAAAGAGAGAAAGAGAGAGAGAGAGAGAGAGAATATGAATGTGTGACAATTGGTTGCTTCCTGATGAACCCTGACTAGGTATCAAATAGTTATGTGCCCAACCAGGAATTGAACCTGAAACTTCTTGGTGGGTGGGACAGTGCTCAACCAACTGAGCCACCTGGCTGAGCAGTGTGTAGGGGTTTTTTTATGACAAATTTAGAAGGGATCTATCTCAGGAGGAGATTATTCTATCTGAAATCATGCTGCTGATGTCTAAGCCAGTAGCGGGTTAACACCTTTACCTAATAAATACTGCTATGGAGATGAGACTACTTGGGCTCCAGTGTAGCCGTCAGATCCTCTCTCTGTGGGCTAAGCTACATGGAAAGCCAAAAACTCAGGAGAGTGCTCGGTGAGCATTGGACCACTGCAGAGGAGGTAATAAATTTGTATTTAACGGCATCAAGTAAGAGCCCTATTCACCCCAGAATAGTATGTTCTTATTAATGGAGCCCAGACTACTCCAAATCTGCATATTGAGGCTCCTCCTCCCTGGACAGTGGTTGGATGGACATTGACCATAATTGCCTTTGTGATTGCTTTCTCTGAGCTCTTGCTCATCAGATCCTCTTAGGATTGGTGTAGTATAGGCAGGAGACGATGGGCCACACTTAGAAACTAACCTTGGGAAGAAAGTGGTACATTTAAGAGAGTTTTTGCATTGAAGTTGGTGACCAGGCGAATAGAGTCAGAGAGGAGGAGTTAAAGTGCTACAAGATTTCTACTTCTGCTACACAGGAAAACATTGGACCAGAAGTGCTCTGTTTAGATGAACAGAAGCACAAAGGTGGGAAAGCATACTAGTAGTTAGGGAGCCATCATTGGTTCATATGATGCATGAAAGAATCTGAATAATATCACTAGTTGGGCAATTATCACTTGTGGACTTAAGTGATAATCCACCGATGCTTTCCAAGCCAGGAGCGGTATGATCTATTTGTGCTTTAAGAGTGACACAGTTAAATAATATTTGGACTTTATGTTTATTGGCACTATGGTAAACTGTAGTTTCTGTCAAGAATTGAATTGATTAGCTAAACTTTTCTGCTTTCAATCAGATGATTTGGTATATGTAAGTAGTTCAATTATTTCTTAAATAGTTTTTTAAAATATTCTGAAAGCAAGAAAGAACCTCAAAAATATTTTGTTTAGAATCCCTCAAAGAAGTATTCTTTATTTCTCAGAAAATGTATCTGATGAGACAGTTGATCCTTTTGGTAACTTCAGATAACTTTAGTGATTGTTCTGTCAAGCTTAAAGTAAACTGAATTAACTTGAATTAGTCTTAGGTAATTGGAAAGAAATGTTAAAAAACAAAAACATGAAATCTTGAAATATCACTAAATTTAATTTTAATTTTTATTTATTTATTTTTTAAAATATATTTATTGGTTTCAGAGAGGAAGGGAGAAGCAGAGAGAGATAGAAACATCAATGATGAGAGAGAATCATTGATGGGCTGCCTCCAACATGCCCCCCACTGGGGACCGAGCCCGCAACCCCAGCATGTGCCCTTGGCCGGAATCGAACCTGGGACCCTTCAGTCTGCAGGTCGACGCTCTATCCACTGAGCCAAGCCGGCCAGGGCTAAATTTAATTTTTACAAGCTTTCATTCTTTTGACCTGAAACTAACATATTAAATGTCAACTATAATTTAAATTTTTTTTAATTCTTAATCATTATCTTGAGTCCACTTGAATTATTATCAAGTAGTTCATGCTTTCAATACCAGAATCACAGTCACCATTCTTAATTTAATCTGTTTGGTGAAGACCTTAGAAACTACGATAAAAAGGAATTTCCTGCACTAAAATTTATACTGAAATCTTTATTTGAATGCTTGTTTCTTAGCAAAGCAAATGGATAAAACCTTAAGGGAAAGAAACAGACTAAAAGTTTCAGATTTCCATATTCTGGACTCTTCTTTTGTCTCTGACTGTGAGCAGCAATCCTTGGGAGAGCTGTGCTGTGTGAGGCAGTGTATGGCTGTAGGAACTTCCTTCCCTTTTCTGCTATAGTCAAGGGAATTTCCTTTTTACCTTTCCTTTTTCTTTGAGCTTAATAATGCTCTTGGCCTCTGGATGCTTGCTTTTTTCTTTCCTCCCTCCCTCCCTTCCAGAAAGTCTTCCAAAGCAATTTTATTTAATTGGATGGAGTATCAACCAAAATGGTGTTCCTTTAATTACATAAAAATAATAACAAAAACATCTTAGAACTGCTTTTGCTGCATCTTATTAAGTTTTAGTATGTTGCATTTCTCTCTTTTTTAATCCTCTCCTGAGGACATGCTTTCATTGCTTTATTTTATTTATTTATTTATTTATTTAGAGAATAAGGGAGAGAGAGAGAGAGAGAGAAACATAGCTGTGAGAATGAAACATTGATCAGTTGCATTCCATACATGCCCCTATCAGAGATCAAACCCACAACCTAACCAGTATGTACTCTGACCGGAAATTGAACCCGCCACCTTTTAGTTTACGGGATGATGCTCCAACCAACAGTGCCACATGGGCCAGGGCAAATATGTTGCATTTTCATTTTCAATTGTCTCAAGATACTGTTTTTTATTTCTTGTTTGATGCCTTCACTGACCCATTTGTTCAGTAGGCTTTTTTCTTTTTGCTAGGACCTGCTGCGCCTGTGCCCTGACTGGTGAGATGGGAAGAAAAAGCAGATCTTATAACTAGAGCCATGATCACATTTCACGTGCTCCTTGGCGTATCAGTTCCCAACTCCTATGATAAAATACTCAAGAGTATTTTCCTCTGAAACATAGGTGGAGCTTACCTTAATATTCCTCACAATCCACCAACAGTACAGGATCGCTATGAAAAATGTATTGGTGTTCGGTAACAGTGTGAAGGACAGTAGGCAGATTAGTTTAGCTGGTGGTGGAGAACAGATTAAATTAGAAGAGTCTCATTCCTCTCCTCACGTCCACTACCCTTTACAACCTGTCATTTGCTTCCCTTGCTGAAACCCTTGTTCTCTAATTTTACTGGTGTTATTGGAGAGATGGTTTCTTGACACCCAGTTCAAATTTCTGATCACTCTTTTGCTTTGTTTTTCCCCTAATGTATACTTAGTAATAAGCATATTTGAAGTATTTGCATTTTGTCTTTCTAACAGGTTATGAAGTTCATGGAATGGAAAAAATACCAGAAGGACCAGCGCTTATAATTTTTTATCATGGAGCTATTCCCATAGATTTTTATTACTTCATGGCTAAAATTTTTATCCAAAAAGGCAGAACTTGCCGAGTAGTAGCTGATCACTTTGTCTTTAAAATTCCAGGTAAACTTTCACTGTACATAATGTTAATTAACACCATCAAATTATGGGATAGTCTGTATCTTTGAGCTCTCTGTATCATTTAGAAAAACTTTTTGCCTTTTTAGTTTGCACACTTGGAACTCCAATTTGGGAGCATCTAATTATCCTCATTATAGCCAAAAGCTTATTTGATCTCTTTCTTTATTATCAGGTATTTAGACCTTATTTTTCAAAGTTAAATACTGAAATTTTTACTTTTAAAAATTAAATTATATTTGCAAAGCAATGTATATTTTGGTACACAGAGTATATTATGTGTTTTTTTTTGTCATATTTCTTGACTTTATACTTGGCAGACTTATAACTTAAGATTGAGGACCACATTCTTTTTAATCTGTTCATAAAGGCTTTGTACCCTTTAAAAAAGATTAATTAACCAAATGTTTTCAAACACAATAGAATTCTCTTTTAAAAATCTCTGTAAACTCATTGAGATTTAATCTTATTTTCGTCTGTTATTAAATTACCAGAAATAAGCCAAAAAGTTTGCAGTTTGTTCTCTGGAATAATAATAATAAAAAAAGCGACCTATCAACCAGACAGACAAACACCAAACAGTGAATTAAATAACAGCCTACTCAGTACCTTTCATAGACATGGTTAATGTTTTGGGTATCCTTAAGTCACTAAAAAGACATTTGTATTTTTTAAAATATGTTTTTGTTGATTTCGGAGAGGAAGAGAGAGGGAGAGAGAGATAGAAACATCAGTGATGAGAGAGAATCATTGATTGGCTGCCACCTACATGCCTCCTAGGGGATTGAGCCTGCACCCCCGGACATGTGCCTTTGACCGGAATCGAACCTGGGACCCTTCAGTCTGCAGGTCGTTGCTTTATCCACTGAGCCAAACAAGCTAGGGCAGTCATTTGTATTTTGTGTATAAACTAAATAGACTATCAAAGGTTTTTCTTTAGAAAGTAATATGATCATTTTATAGTAAAATTTGAAAATTAGAGGAAAAAAACATCATTATACTAGTAATCTTGTTACTCTAATATAACCAGTTAGCCTTTTAATTTATTTTGTTTCATTTTTAATTCACATATTCACGTATTATGCTTAAGTAAAGAATAGTTTTAATGGATGACTGAAATATTTAATTGCTTAGTTTTCTCTTATGAAACATTAGGGTACTTCCATTTTTTTTCTTATACATAATAGAAAGTGAATATTTTTATTTAGCCTTTGGCTTTTAAAGTACTTTCTCCCTTTATGATCTTATCATTCAGGAAACCTCCCTTGTTCATTCATTTATTATGATACTGCTCTAATTAAATCAGTGGGCTTTTAATGTAATGTAACATGAAAATTATTTCAATTTTAATAATATTTATAATCTTGTTTTAGATCCTTAAACCTATGAGAAGGTTGATTAGTCTGCATAGTTTTTACTACTCATTTCATTTTCCAGTTTTAAGGAATAATGTATACTATCATCAGTACTCTAAAGTTTCAGTTTAGGATTTGCTTAAAATATTTAATTACTTGACAGGATTATATTTTCTTCTAAAATAGTTGTAATTTTTTAAATTATATACTATTAGGACCTGCAATTAGCTGTTCCTAAGTCAAACACTCACTTTAGTAAAAACTCTTAATGATTTTGCTATTATTATTGACATAAAATTTTCTTGGAATTAGCATCATCTAACGTATAATTTCAGTAGATTTTATTATGGCTTGCCAGTTTTGGTAGGGCTAAGCAGAGTCAGATTCACATGCTCTTGAGTGAGTCTTTCTTACAGGGTTAATGGAAGATTAGATTTGTGACTGCTAATAGGATATTATTTCTGATTGCTTTAATAAATGCTGTAGACAGTGTTTAGCCATGAGATGCTAGTGGAAGGAACTTTGGAACAGAATCCCTGCCCTGCCATTTGCTTGGTGTGTGACTTTGAGCAAGCCACTCACACTCTGAGCCAACTTTTCCTCTTCTGTAAAATAATGATAAGAATCCCTGTTTTCCAAGGTTTTTGTGAGTTTTAATTAAAAATTTGAATATGTAAAGTAGCCAGAGTAGAAGGTGATCACTAAGAGGTCATCAATAGTAGGTGATGTATAAGATGAAGCTATTATTTTATCAGCAATATTAATCTTATGTTAACCTGGAGAGTTCTTGTTGATTTTTAAAAAGTTAAAAAGAATTTACTGATTTAAGTATAGATAGTACATTTTATAGGTTGTGAAGATATTTGCTCTTGAAGAATTGGACAAGAAATACTTAAGATACATATTCATGCTAATGTTTCTTACAGGGTTTAGTTTATTACTTGATGTATTTTGTGCTCTACATGGACCAAGAGAAAAATGTGTTGAAATTCTGAGGAGTGGTCACTTGTTAGCTATTTCACCAGGTGGAGTTCGAGAAGCCCTAATTAGTGATGAAACCTACAACATCATATGGGGTAATCGTAAAGGCTTCGCTCAGGTTGCAATTGATGCAGAAGTGGTGAGTTGTATATAAAGCTAATTATTAAAGTAAAGCTAGGTTGTATTTATAATAGATGCTCAAATAGTGAGCCAAAGTATATAAGAATTTAGATACTGTCATTGCAGTACTTTAAGTTAGTGTACATAACTCTTAAAGGGTAGCAGTAGAGCAATGTTCCTTTGGATGGGAAACCATCTGAAAAATTCAATCTGGAAATTTGGCAAATATTCAGCAAAATTTTATTTTACATTTCGAAATCCAGCATCTTTTAATCAGATTTATAGAATTCTTTTATTTCTTTAGTTATACTTATTTTCGTAAGTAATAATCAGTCCACCTCTATGTATTTTAATCCTTTTGTACGATTGACTTGGCATATGTCAGTGATGGTTGTTGGTTGGTTTCATTGCAATTCTTTTATCTGTGATCAATTTATATTACAAAAGGACTCAAATAATAAATGACTAATCATTTTTTATCAAGAAATGTGATCAGCTATCTAGTATGAATAAAAATGACAAATAGGTGTGGGTGATATTTAGATCTTTTTAAAAGACTTTACAAATGAATTTGTCAAAGTTAGATGTTCTGGGTTTCGATTATTCTACTTAATAGACTGAAGAATGTGAATACCATTTTATTTTTTTCTTTTGCCTTGGAAAGTATTTCTCAGCCTTTTGGTCTCCATAGTGTACTTTGTCCTATGAAATATTTAGTACTCATGGAATGGTTTCTTCTTTGTTTTCTGTTTGTTTTAATTTTAGATTGTCTGTGAGAAAAACAAGTAGTAGTATCTTGGACAAGGTGTGCTCTTTTTCTAGCCCAATCGATTAGCTAAAGACAGCTGCCAGTACTTCACATTTTAGTTTTTTGTGTACCCATTTTGCCACATCAAAGACCAGCGTACACCTTTATTTTTTTAAAAATACATTTTATTGATTTTTTACAGAAAGTAAGGGAGAGGGATAGAGAGTTAGAAACATTGATGAGAGAGAAACACTGATCAGCTGCCTCCTGCACACCCCCTACTGGGGATGTGCCCGCAACCAAGGTACATGCCCTTGAAAAAGAATCGAACCTAGGACCCTTCAGTCTGCAGGCTTACGCTCTATCCACTGAGCCAAACCGGTTAGGGCTCAGTGTATAGAGCCCTATTCATCTTGCCTATTCATCTTGCAGACTACTGAATAAAAAGAAAAAGCTAATGGATAATTCATTCTAACCCAAGACCAGTATTTGAAAAAGAGTGGAAATTTTCTCTATATATTTTTTTCTCTATATTTTTTAATTTCAGGATTGTAATAAATACAATGCATTGAGCTCTATTCTCTCTTGTACGTATGTATATGTAACTTTTAGAAGTAAGTTATTGCTGTATAGTACTTTAATAATGTGATCCCAGTATAACAGTTAATGTACTTGCCCAAGTGTTTAACCCCTAGAGTGCCAGGGAGCGCGATCACGCTCCTCCTGTCTTTCGCCAAAAGTCCCAGGAGCGCTATCAAAGCTTCGAAATGGCATCCAGTTCTAAGTCTGCTTTTATTAGTGATGATGATATTATTAAATATGTCAATGTAGTAAGCTTTCCTTAAGTTTTTGAATATGTAACTTCATTTACTAGCGTTTCATAATTTTTTTCCTAAACTGCTGTAAAATCAGCAAAAATTCCTTGGCAATTTTAGCATAGTTCCTAGGATATTGGTTAGCACTCAAAGGGTTAATAATACACAATGTAAAAATTTAAATACTGTTGTCCTACAGTAGATTATAAACTCTCTCAGGACAAGGCCATCTTTTTAAATTCTGAGTTCCCAGTACACTGACAGGCACTTAGTAGGCTACTTGTATTTGTTAAATTGATTTTTAAAACATTGTTAATCAACACTAGAAAGGAGCCTTTTGAATTTTATTTTGTATTAATTGTATTAGTAATATAGAAAATTAATTGTATTTTCCAAAAAGTCTTAAGTACTGATGTAGAAAACAAAACCTTAGACCATATGAATAATATAGAATACAAAAGGAATATACACAGTTATACAAAATGTAAGGATATGTAGTATATTTTTTTAGCAATAATAAAAGCTAAAAGCTAATCAAACAGTTTAATTTTTCAGTTTATATTCTAAAAGAATTATTTCTTCTAAGGTTTAAGATAAACATGACGTTGATCATGGGATTCTAATTTGTCATCCTTAAGTTTACAGTTTTAAAGGACATTGCCTGGAAGAAAGCCCAAAAGAAATAAATTATATAGAGAAAGGAACTCGGATTCCAATCCTTGAAAGAGTTTCTAAATAATTAATTAAGATAGTCTAGATACTTTAGTTAAGGATTTTATATGAAATTTGAGAAAATCTAATAAACAGCCTTTTACCAGTTTATAAATAAACAAAAATGTTTAACATTGCTGATTTACAAAAGAGTATTATAGGTTTGATAAATCTTGTACCACCCCAGCCTTTTGCAGTGCTTTTAAAGGTTATGGTGGCACTCCTCCATAGTAAGTAGGTGACACATTTATTATTCCAGTGTTACAGCTGAGGAAACTCAGGCAAAGAGAGATGAAGGGATGGAGCAGTGGTTCTCAACCTTCCTAATGCTGCGACCCTTTAATACAGTTCCTCACGTTGTGGTGACCCCCAATTTCATTGTTACAATTTGAACATAATTAAAGCATAGTGATTAATCACAAAAACAATATGTAATTATATATGTGTTTTCCGATGGTCTTAGGCGACCCCTGTGAAAGGGTTATTCGACCCCCAAAGGGGTCGTGACCCACAGGTTGAGAACCACTGGATGGAGGGACCAGGTCACACAGCAGGGCAGAGCAGAGCAGAGTACACAGTTCTGGACTGCAGGCAACTGGTGCTGTTGCCATTACTGATGGCATTTCGCCGTGAGCCTCCTGACCTTGAGATCAGAGGGCATTTCCCCATACCTGAGGAAAACCTTTCAGTCATATCATTGTAAAAGTTACAAGTATCCCTTCTGGAAAACCCCTTCACAGCTTCACAGATTTGTCATAAACTGTGACCAAAGATTTAAGACTGTTCGTGCAGGATTAAATACATTTCAATTGTGACATAGTAACAGAAATTAAAGTTAAAAAGTTAGATCATCAATGCAAGCTCACAAAATACTGGTTAGAAAATATTTAAGGTTCATCTGATAGTTGCAGCTTTTTTTATGTAATATAAATCACTCTTATTTTGTGGATTCCTGAGAATTATGACTTTGGTAAGAATTTTTAGGTAACTTCATGTCTAAATAAGTTGGGAAAAATTAGCCCATTTACTTTAGTTGGAAGACAAATAACAGATATAAAAGAAAATAGCATTTGTTCCAATAAAATTATTTATATGTATTATTTCAACCTACTAAAAAATCTTTGAGATATGATAATAATTAGCCCCATTTTAACATGAAAAAACAGACTTTGACATGGTAAGTAACTTGTTCAGTGGTCCCACTTTTTTAGTGGCAAAGTTAGGACTCCCAAGACAATGTAAAGCTGATTCTTCAAGAATAGTTTTAACAAAATACACAGTCTCTTTCTCTTGCACATGTATTCATACTCATACATACAGAGACGCATGTATACATGTAAACCGAATGTAATGCTAGGTTACTTTTGCAACTATGTTGTATATAAAGTGTGCACAAGAAAAGGAATGAATAACTGTACTACAACATCAGGTTGTAATAAAGCGATGTTTGTAGCTTAAAGGCTTTAGCTTGCAGGCAAATTTAGGAACAACGTGTCCAAAATATAGCTTGGAATACTGAGCCTTCTAGGCAAGCTTTCTCTGTCCAGTAGGTTTCTGGAAATGTTCAGCTTCTGGAGAGTTAGGTATTTAAAGGATGATGTGCCCCCTGAAGTGTGTTTAAATAATGCATACTTCAGTACCAACTTTGGGGTTCATGTCAGCCAGTAGACATGAATCCAGCAGACAAGGCACAGTGGTGAATATATGGGCCGAAAGTTTTCTGTTCCTTGGGCATTTTAAGTTCTCAATTCTAAAGTCATAGCTATTTAAAACATTAAGATTTCAGCTATCATTTTATTTTACACTAGTGATGGTTTCCTAGATTGAAATCTGAATTTTTAAAAAAATATATTTTATTGATTTTTTACAGAGAGGAAGGGTGAGAGATAGAGAGTTAGAAACATCGATGAGAGAGAAACATCAATCAGCTGCCTCTCGTACATCTCCTACTGGGGATGTGCCCGCAACTCAGGCACATGCCCTTGACCAGAATCGAACCTGGGACCTTTCAGTCCGCAGGCCGACGCTCTATCCACTGAGCCAAACCGGTTTTGGCTGAAATCTGAATTTTTTACAAAAGCGTCAATGTACTTTGTCTTATATGCTTGCTTTGTGAATTAACTCCATTGAATTTTAAAACCTTCACATGACTTCTTTTCTTTACCTGACTTCACTC